CTGTTTCTGTAAGGCGATCATGAATTTGTCCTGTTCCCTTATGAATTCTGGTAAACAGGCTTGAATCTCACCATTAAATTGACGTAGAATTGAAGCTGTGCAGTTATTCGGGATTTCATATTCTTTCAATGAATCTTTACTTTGGAGTTTGTTCAACCCTTTCTTTAAGTAGGAATTCCAACGTACATCGATTTGCTCGTGTAACGGTTCCTCGATATCTTCGTCCTTTTCAGGAATGGCTCCCAAGGTAGCGTCTGTATTGTTTCTATTTCCAGTTGTACCTGGTGTATTAGCATCCTGGATGTTGATTTCAGCTTGGAGACTCTCAATATCCAGGAGGTCGTTTTCGCATACGACAATTTCAGGGCTCTCGGGTTCTAGGTCCGAATGTCCTGTGAATCGGAATAGGATATTAGAAATCACGTGATTTCAGGTGTGAGGAGTGACACATGTTACTCCCAATTATGTGAGAAAGCAATCACATAATGCCCTTCTTATCAATATGACATGCCACGCACATTTCTAAAATGTAATCGCTTGTATAGCCCTGTCATAGATATTCGGCCCTTCTGAAAAGGAAAAAAGGGAATTATGGTAAACTTACCTCCAGAACTTGCAGAATCACTATCGGAAGATGAAATTTAATTGGTCTTGGATATAGTTCAACTATGATTTCAGCTTTTTGAACTTACTTTTATCGCAATATTCGCGAATGGGCGATTTCTTTTCTTGCGGTATGGTGATCTTCAACCAACACTCACTTTAAACACGATTAAATTCTTGTTGATAAAGTACGCACTTGCTACTGAAGCTACGCTAACGGAATGAAATATTTGTACTCTTATCAGCAGTGCGGGGGCGATGGGGTAATTCAGTGTTTTAGTTTTTTGCTCTTCAAGAAGCGTACCGATTGTATGTACACGACGAAAACTACATTTTAATTATATCGAAGGACAAGGAAAGGAAAATTTTGTTAACTGATTATATATTGAAAAAGAAAATGAAAAAGATTTTAACTCTGTTCCAATACGATTCCTAAAATGTATTACGATAATACTTATATGGGTCCTCTGATACGGTGGTGGAGGTGTTTGAGGTTGTGCTGGTTCTTGGTCAATGGGGTCGCGTAGACACCAGATGCACGGGCAATACGTTGGTAGACGAAGGGCAATCCTGATTCGACGGAGTTCCAGATGAAGAAGTCGAAGATGCATCCAGTTCATTACCCACTGGTGATGTTTGGTCCTTTCGAATGAATTTACGGTGGTGGAGGAATTGGAAGTTGTGCTGGTCCTTGGTCAATGGGGTCGCGTAGACACCAGATGCACGGGCAATACGTTGGTAGACGAAGGACAATCCTGGTTCGACGAAGTTCCAGATGAAAAAGTCTAAGATGCATCCAGCCCACTGGTGATGTTCGGTCCGTTCGAATGAATTTACGGTGGTGGAGGGATTGGAAGTTGTGCTGGTCCTTGGTCAATGGGGTCGCGAAGACACCAGATGCACGGGCAATACGTTGGTAGACGAAGGACAATCCTGGTTCGACGAAGTTCCAGATGAAAAAGTCTAAGATGCATCCAGCCCACTGGTGATGTTCGGTCCGTTCGAATGAATTTACGGTGGTGGAGGGATTGGAAGTTGTGCTGGTCCTTGGTCAATGGGGTCGTGAAGACACCAGATGCACGGGCAATACGTTGGTAGACGAAGGGCAATCCTGGTTCGGCGAAGTTCCAGATGAAAAAGTCTAAGATGCATCCTGTTCATTACCCACTGATGGTGTTCCGTCAGTTCGAATGAATTTACGGTGGTGGAGACATTGGAAGTTGTGCTGGTCCTTGGTCAATGGGGTCGCGTATACACCAGATGCACGGGCAATACGTTGGTAGACAAGGGGCAATCCTGGTTCGGCGAAGTTCCAGATGAAAAAGTCTAAGATGCATCCAGTTCATAACCCACTGGTGATTTTCGGTCCGTTCGAATGAATTTACGGTGGTGGAGGGATTGGAAGTTGTGCTGGTCCTTGGTCAATGGGGTCGCGAAGACACCAGATGCACGGGCAATACGTTCCAGAGGAAAAAGTCTAAGATGCATCCTGTTCATTACCCACTGGTGGTGTTCGGTCCTTTCGAATGAATTTACGGTGTTGGAGGGATTAGAATTTGTGCTGGTCCTTGGTCAATGGGGTCGCGTAGACACCAGATGCACGGGCAATACGTTCCAGATGAAAAAGTCTAAGATGCATCCTGTTCATTACCCACTGGTGGTGTTCGGTCCTTTCGAATGAATTTACGGTGTTGGAGGGATTGGAAGTTGTGCTGGTCCTTGGTCAATGGGGTCGTGAAGACACCAGATGCACGGGCAATACGTTGGTAGACGAAGGGCAATCCTGGTTCGACGAAGTTCCAGATGAAAAAGTCTAAGATGCATCCTGTTCATTACCCACTGGTGATGTTCGGTCCTCTCGAATGAATTTACGGAGGTAAAGGGATTGGAAATTGTGCTGGTCCTTGGTCAATGGGGTCGCGAAGACACCAGATGCACGGGCAATACGTTCCAGATGAAAAAGTCTAAGATGCATCCTGTTCATTACCCACTGGTGGTGTTCGGTCCTTTCGAATGAATTTACGGTGGTGGAGGGATTAGAATTTGTGCTGGTCCTTGGTCAATGGGGTCGCGTAGACAACAGATGCACGGGCAATACGTTCCAGATGAAAAAGTCTAAGATGCATCCTGTTCATTACCCACTGGTGATGATCGGTCCGTTCGAATGAATTTACGGTGTTGGAGGGATTGGAAGTTGTGCTGGTCCTTGGTCAATGGGGTCGCGAAGACACCAGATGCACGGGCAATACGTTGGTAGACGAAGGGCAATCCTGGTTCGGCGAAGTTCCAGATGAAAAAGTCTAAGATGCATCCAGTTCATTACCCACTGGTGGTGTTCGGCCCGTTCGAATGAATTTACGGTGGTGGAGGAATTGGAAGTTGTGCTGGTCCTTGGTCAATGGGGTCGCGAAGACACCAGATGCACGGGCAATACGTTGGTAGACGAAGGACAATCCTGGTTCGACGAAGTTCCAGATGAAAAAGTCTAAGATGCATCCTGTTCATTACCCACTGGTGGTGTTCGGTCCTCTCGAATGAATTTACGGTGGTAAAGGGATTGGAAGTTGTGCTGGTCCTTGGTCAATGGGGTCGCGTAGACATCAGATGCACAGGCAATACGTTGGTAGACGAAGGACAATCCTGGTTCGACGAAGTTCCAGATGAAAAAGTCTAAGATGCATCCAGTTCATAACCCACTGGTGATGTTCGGTCCGTTCGAATGAATTTACGGTGGTAAAGGGATTGGAAGTTGTGCTGGTCCTTGGTCAATGGGGTCGAGTAGACACCAGATGCACAGGCAATACGTTGGTAGACGAAGGACAATCCTGGTTCGACGAAGTTCCAGATGAAAAAGTCTAAGATGCATCCAGTTCATAACCCACTGGTGATGTTCGGTCCGTTCGAATGAATTTACGGTGGTGGAGGGATTGGAAGTTGTGCTGGTCCTTGGTCAATGGGGTCGCGTAGACACCAGATGCACGGGCAATACGTTGGTAGACGAAGGGCAATCCTGGTTCGGCGAAGTTCCAGATGAAAAAGTCTAAGATGCATCCTGTTCATTACCCACTGGTGGTGTTCGGTCCTTTCGAATGAATTTACGGTGTTGGAGGGATTAGAATTTGTGCTGGTCCTTGGTCAATGGGGTCGCGAAGGCACCAGATGCACAGGCAATACGTTGGTAGACGAAGGACAATCCTGGTTCGACGAAGTTCCAGATGAAAAAGTCTAAGATGCATCCAGTTCATTATCCACCGTTGGTGTTCCGTCCGTTCGAATAAATTTACGGTGGTGGAGGGATTGGAAGTTGTGCTGGTCCTTGGTCAATGGGGTCGCGTAAACACCAGATGCACGGGCAATACGTTGGTAGACGGAGGGCAATCCTGGTTAGGCAAAGTTCCAGATGAAAAAGTCTAAGATGCATCCAGTTCATTACCCACTGGTGGTGTTCCGTCCGTTCGAATGAATTTACGGTGATGGAGTGATTTGAAGTTGTGCTGGTCCTTGGTCAATGGGGTCGCGTAAACAGCAGATGTACAGGCAATACGTTGGTAGACGAAGGGCAATCCTGGTTCGGCAAAGTTCCAGATGAAAAAGTCTAAGATGCATCCAGTTCATTACCCACTGGTGGTGTTCCGTCCGTTCGAATGAATTTACGGTGGTGGAGACATTGGAAGTTGTGCTGGTCCTTGGTCAATGGGGTCGCGTATACACCAGATGCACGGGCAATACGTTGGTAGACAAGGGGCAATCCTGGTTCGGCGAAGTTCCAGATGAAAAAGTCTAAGATGCATCCAGTTCATTACCCACTGGTGGTGTTCCGTCCGTTCGAATGGATTTAGGGTGGTGGAGGGATTGGAAGTTGTGCTGGTCCTTGGTCAATGGGGTCGCGTAGACACCAGATGCACGGGCGATACGTTCGTAGACGAAGGGCAATCCTGGTTCGGTGAAGTTCCAGATGAAAAAGTCTAAGATGCATCCAGTCCATTACTCACTAGTGGTGTTCGATTCGTCCTAATGGATTTACAGTTTGGAGTTAATCTCGCTCATCAACGATATTTTTGATTATTCTTTCGATCAAAATCACTTTGCCTTCGTCCATTGGCATCAGTCTCACCAGATTTACTAGATGTTCCATGTTCATTGGATGCTTCATGGTAGTTACTAATACACTGATAAGTTCGTGAGGTTCACTGATCCTTTTATAAAGTTCATGAAGTATTTAGTTTCGACCTCGTTGGGATGATCCTCTAGGAAATAATCTGATTACATGTCCAAGCTCATAACAACCATAACATATTAAGGTCCCATTTCCACTCATTAGCAAAGTGTCCGGGCTTTTGACATCTGTAACATTTTGAGGTACAAGGAGTTGATGTTTGTTGTCTATTATTCCTTACTTCCACTGCTCTGCATTCTATCTCTCGTATCTTGTTTAGATTTCTTATTGTTTCTTCCTTTTTCGCTACCCTGACTGCATCTTCTAAGGTTAGAGGCTTTGCTGATAGAACTCTCTTCCTGATCGGGTCTGCTGCTAATTTCTGTTTAAGTCTCATTTGCAGCGACCTTCAATCCAGCCAAAAATTTGTCTGCATGACTCACCGTTGCGTACATCCTATGAATGCCTTCAAGGCTTGCCCAGGGAGTTGCACTATTCCAAACTGCTTACGTAGGGCCCCTTCAAGGATGTCCCAGGTGGCTGTAGCTCGTAGATCAGGCTCTGAATCGATCAACTGTTTGGCTACCCCTCGTAATTTCAATCGAGTAATGGCTGTCTGCTGTCTCTCGGTCCATTCTGCTAATATAGCTGTTTCCTCAATGATATGGAGAAAATCGTGAACACTTGTTGATTCATTGTACTCTGGTTTGGCATCCAAGTTCATGGGCATGGAGACAATGATGTTTTTCTGTTCGTCGTCGTCTCCGGTTTGTCACATCTTTCAGTCTTATGTCTACAAGTCTTCCTCCTGCCGCTGAGGGTAGAATAGCTCTTAAATAATTCAATTCCACACCTGACACCAATAATTGTAAAGCCTCTAACTTTTTTCGTTCGTTGGCCTACTAGAGGGTGTCTTCACAAAGTAATTTTTTAGATCAAGGGGTTTGTGATTATTGAGGCAGGAGGCAGACTGAGGTTTTAAGCATTAAGACACCATATAGATAGTAACTGAGACATTTATTCAGGTAGTATGGTCAGGCAGAGGTTACAGCTAACAAAATCAAAGTTTGCTTACATTTCGAATTGAACATTTTTGTTCCACTGTTCACTTGTGTTCAATTGGCGAGAGATTCACTTCACTTTTACGTCTAAGTCACAAAAGGTTACAGTTCACAATAAATAATGTACCTGGGTGGTTAATTACACAGGTGATATTATCGAAGTTCACTTCACAGATACAAAGTCTGCTGGAGACGTTTTTTATTGAGTAACATTTAAGACTGGAGATAAAGTCGGATTTTCCTGCTTTTATTATTAATTGAACATGAGCCAAGTTCTATGTTGTGTTTATAGTAGGCAAGATTCTTCGTAGATTTTTGAGCGATAAATAGTTCTGAATTGTTATGACGACAAATAATTTCAAGCTATAATTCATACTTTGAATGTTAACGAAATTGTCACTTACTAAAGTTTTCCATCAAATCTTTGCCAAGCAATAATTTATGATTTTTATGAATTTTTCTTGACCTCAATTTGCAAAAGTGAAAAGATTTCGATGCAAATCCCTAATGTTAGGATAATAATTTACTTTCTGAATATTAAGAAAGTAGACAATGAGCTGTTCATTCCAATACTTATTCAAGCTAAATCATAATCCATTGATCATTCGAGCCAATCAGATCAAAGTCACTCCCTCTTTGCTGAACTTATAAATTCCCTGCAAATTCTTATCAACGTCATGTTTGTCTCTCAATTCGGTCCGGTGATATTAACCTGCTCTGTTCTTAAGTGACCAGTGAATTCGTTTTACAAAGGTAACGTACCTACTCAAAACTCGATTTCCTTAACTAAATAGTTAAATTACATTCTATGAATCTCTCAAAACTCTGTTTTAAATGATCTTACTAAATGCTGTTCACTTGTTTCGGAAAATATCAGTAGGTCATCGACATAAATAAGAACAAATCCTCCATATCTAACACCCACAACTTCATTCAAACACCTGACAAAACTAGTTACCGATGTAATCATTCCAAACGGTAGGACACAAAAGCAATATGTTGTATTATCAAAGCTAAATCCGGTAAATTTCTGATCCTCTTCTTCAATTGGCACCTGCCAATACCTGACCGTTAAATCGACAGTGCTCAGAATTTGACCTTTTTTGAAATGCCAAAGAAGGGAAGATTTGTATTTCGTGCAAGATAATTTATTCAAAATATTCGTAGCAGAGCGCTTTCGACTGTAAGTAATCAACTTTTAGCTATTGGAAAGAAATTGTGATTGGAAATTCGAAAAAAAATTTCGAAAACATCTTTGAAAAAATATTGTTGAAAAAAATTTTTTGAAGATTTTTTTTTGGAAATTTGTTTAAAATTGAACAAGGAAAAACTTGGAAAATATATTGGTGACTTGTTACTTTTTTGATGAACTTTTGATATGGAAAAGACATTATAATAAATCGAAATTTGAAATTGTTAAATATGAATTTGGAAATTGATAAATGTGAGGTTACTTACTCGTCAGGTTAACAGGGAAATTCGTCCATAAAAATATCTTTGGTCCAGTTTGAAACTAACGACATTTAGATACCAAAGATATTTTTATGGACGAATTTCTCTGTTAAGTAACCTCACTTTTATCAATTTCCAAATTCATATTTAACAATTTCAAATTTCGATTTATTATAATGTCTTTTCCAAATCAAAAGTTCATCAAAAAAGTAACAAGTCACCAATTCATTTTTAAATTTTTGACTTTCTCAATATTATACAAATTCAAAAAAAAAAAAATTCAAAAAAATTGTTTCAAAAATGTTTTCAATTTCAATTTCTTTCCAATAGCTAAAAGCAGACTACTTACTTACAGGTACGCACTGATGATGACTCAACAGTCGAAAGTGCTCTGCTACGAATATTTTGAATAAATTATCTTGCACGAAATATAAATCTTCCCTTCTTTGGTATATAGTCACGTGCACACAGCCCAGCAACCCTCACTTTTTTGAAATGTGTCAATAACTCATCTGGAAGTGGTGGAGTCACATGATCATTAGCCATTTTTGCATTCAAATATCTCGCGTCCAGACATATACGCACGGATTTATCTTCCTTTATCACTGTTACTAGCGGTGACACGTAGTCAGTACATTTTTTTATAATTCCCCAATCAACCATTTCATCTATCTGTTTTCGTACTTCTTCCTTATAAGCGAACGGTACAGGATAAGATCTTTTCACGAAAGGAGTTGAATCAATCCCCCCCCCCCCGGTACCTTTCTCTATGAGGTTCCCATTTCGAAAAACTTCCACCCGTTTTACTGGGTAAAAGTTCCTTGAAACTTGCCAACCAACCCCTACTCCTCCTGGAGTAGTCCTCATGTCATTCTCTTTTTGGTACTATTTCCTACGTCTGGTTTGTCTGTCTTTGTCCGTGTACTAGGCAAAATTGATCTTTTGGATGACGCTTCCTAGTGTGGTGTTGAGCTCAGACTTACGGCTTTCAGAGCTGCTAGTCAGTAATTTTGTTGATTGCAAATGGGAATGCGTCACTTTTGAAAAGTGTAGTCTTCTTGTTCGTGTGTGTCGTCTCTGGAGCTCGTTTAGGGATTGCCCTGCTGGATAGCTTGCAATTTTCCCTTTATGACTACTATGTCATAGAAGGATATTGCTATTCGATCGACTTCTTCACTCACCTGATTGAATATTCGTCCTCGCTGTGTAGTTGGCATTTGGGTCGTTTGTGCCGTTCTCGAAATCTTGGATCGTAATCCAGGATTTCTCGTAGACCTCTGTTGGGGTGTGTCTCTAGAAGTGGGAACCATTTCTCTGCCTTCTCTTTCATCTTTGTGGTCACTGGTGTGATTCTCAGATCCCTGAAGATGGTCCCGTTCGAGACGTAGTAGGGGGCGTTTGAAGCCCACCTCAGGGCTAGGTTTTCTTGGGCTTGGATCCTCTTCCTGTTCGTTTTGCAAGTTTGTCCCCATGCTAACGAGGCATAAGTGAGTATAGGCAGGATGACTGCTCTTATCAATAATAGTTTGTTGGTGAGGGACATCCTGCTTTTTCTACCTATAAGTGGAAATAATTTTTGTTTAGCTGCTTTAACTCTACTTACCGTATGGTTGACATGTTCGCTGAAGGTTAGTCCTTGATCCAAGATTACTCCTAGGTACTGGGCTTTTTCTGACCATTGTATATTGTTTCCGCCTATTTCAACATGTCCTTCTGGTCTTTTGCGCATTTTTCCTTTGAACAGTACTGCTTTGCTCTTATCCGGGTTGATAGCTATCTTCCATTTTACGCACCAGTCTTCCAATTCAGTTGCAGCCCGTTGGAGATGTCGTGTTACTAGGTCCGGTCTCAAGGATCTCGCGGCTATCGCCGTGTCGTCTGCGTATAAACTGGACTCTATAAGTATCCCAAAGGGGTTCGTTGCAAGTTCAGATAATGAAAGAGGCATCCAAAAATAGTACAGAAATCACTCAAATAGGTTTATTGCAAAGTAGACACAATATCTAATAAACCTTAAACAATCTTAAAACTAAAATACCTCTAGTCCTTTCACAGTTTGTACAGTCCAAGCAATAAGCATGTCCATTCAACACTCGGAAATTGCACGATGTACCGCCGCTATAGCCCAATCAGGATCATGTAGGTACTCACGAACACTTTGAGGTGATGTGAATTATTTGGGTGAAATTCACATCTGTTATCAACAGACTTCGATGATTCAGTATAACTCAACACTGTTTCGGCCATTAACAATGATTCCGTACTACGTACTATGCGTACATAGATATTTCCGGGAAATCTCACAACTCTTCAAGATTCCAACCGGAGACGATGTGCACTGTCTCGATTCCCAAGACCTTCTTCTTTTCTCCCACCTCATCCTGCGCTTTCTCCCTATCCCGCGCAAAACACGCTGGTGAAGCTTAACCAAGCTATCCTATTGGTTGATTTGGGCGCGTATTCCATAAGTATGCAGAAACGTCACTAACGGCGGTTTCTGGAATAGCCCGGTGCACTTGGATAACGCTCACTCTAAATCTATCCACTGTACATAAGTTCCGAAAATGTCTTAAACCTTAAACCTATCCTACCCTATTTCCTACATAAGGTGGGTCTGTTACAAATGATAAACAGGTGTTATCTGTCTTTGGGGTGTCTGATGTGTATATGGTATACAGCTTTGGACTTAATACTGCGCCTTGCGGGACTCCTGCTTCCGTTGATCTGGATGATGATTATTCATGTCCAATTTTGACTTTGAGTTTTCTGTTTCGGATATATGAGTCAATGAGTTTCAGTATAGATACTGGATATCCTAGGTCCATCATTTTGGATATGAGTCCATCATGCCATACTCTGTCGAAAGCATTGGAAACATGCAGGAAAACCGTCCCTGTGACCTGTTTCCTATTCAGCCCTTGGGCTGCATATTCGACAAGTCTCAGGACTTGGAGTTCTGTTGAATGTTTTTCTCGGAATCCGTACTGTTCGTCAGGGATAATGTTCAGGGCTTCTGTGCTAAAATCAAGTCTGTTAGCAATAATTCTTTCGGCAACTTTACTTACCGCTGGGAGGAGGCTTATTGGTCTATAGTTCTGTGGAAATGTGCCATTCTTCTGTGGTTTAGGAATCATTATCACCTCTGCGTTTTTCCATCTCCTGGGAAAGTAACGTAATCTTAATATGCCATTTATTATACTTACGATGGTAACCACTGCCTTCCTAGTGAGTTTTTTGAGCGCTCTGTTTGGTATGTTATCGCAGCCAGGTGCTCGCTTTGTTGCCAGTTTCTGGAGAATAAGTCTAACTTCTTCGGGAGAAGTAGGTGCAATGACTTCATTCTCTTCCATTTGTCTTAGGGCGCGTACCTGTCTCCTGACAGATGCTTCATGGCGTGGATCTTCGTCTGGGTGGTTGTTTTCTCTACATTCCAGTTCAAGGCAGTCAGCAAATGCTTCTGCCTTCTCACTTTCGGTGAGACAATTCCCATTTCCCCATATATAGGTGGCAGTGGTTTTTGTAGTTCTGATGATCTTTTGGAGATTCCATAGTCCTGGTGAGTTAGGATCTAGGCCTGCAACAAATCTTTCCCATTTATTATTATAATGTAAAGTCAATTCATTTCTTACCTGTCTGTTCAATTCGTTACCTAGCAGCTTGTTTGTCTTGTCTTGCTAGTGTTCTTTGGGCTATCCGTTTCGCTCGATCTTTCCTTCTTATTAGTTCTTTTATTTCATCAGGTATATCACCATACTTACTGTTTTTACGGGCGTGTCTCGTAATGGTACTTTCCTCTAGAGCTCTTGTTATATCCTCTTCTAGTCCTTCAATGGCACTTTCAATATCCACTTCACTTTCACTCACTCTAATGGGGCGCATATTTCTTTCTGTTTCTACGGATCATATCCCAGTCGACGTTTCGGATTATTCGGTCCTCTTCAGGATCATTGTTTTGGCTTATGTTGAATATTATTGGATTGTGGTTTGAAGAACCTTCTTGAATGACATGTAGATCAATAGGGAAGGTTATGTCTTTTGTCACAGCTATGTCTAGTACGTCCGGTCTTTGCTCTGCTTGTGGGTAGTGGGTGGGATGTATAGGTCCTATAACGTTTACGTCTGGCTATTTGTCTTGGAATTCGTCGAGGTTTCGTTCCTCCAGAATTTCTTCTGAAGTCATTTCTCTATGTTATATAACCTTGTATGTTAAAACCTATATTTTCTGTTAGTTTGGTTTCTTGTAGGGCCAAGACATCGATCTCTATTCTTTCTAGGATTTCTCCGATTCCGTGTTTTTTACTTTAAACCGAATCCGCATTCCACGAGGCAATTTTTACATTGGTTGGTCTTATGGGTTGTGTGTTCATTTTAAGTTTTGTGTGAGTGAGCTCATTACCGCTGCCATTTGTGCAAATAGCTTTTTCATTTCTTCAAGTTGATTTTGATTTGGATCATTTTTATTGTTGGACTGTGAGGCAGTATTTGAATTGGTTATTTTAGCATAGCTTTTATTAGGGTCAACTTTTGCAGAATTATGTTTTGCCTTCATGTTCGGATTCGATTTCAGGTATACACTGCATCCTCTGAAGCTCGCGAGGTGTTCTCCGCCACAATTTGCGCATTTGGCGGGTTGGTCTTTTTTAATACGGCACTCTGCCGCACGGTGGTTACCACCACAGATTACGCATCTGAGGGTGGCTGTGCATCTGCTCTGGCCATGTCCGAAACGTTGGCACCTATAGCATTGGGTGGGTCCGCTTTGTTTGTTTTGTTTTTCTACACTGATTTTCAGGTAGTAACATTCATTTAGTTCGTATATATTACTCTCATTTTTTGGGAGTTGTACAAGGAACATGGGTAGTGCTTTTTTAGTCCTTCTGGAAGTCATTTGGCTGACTAGTTCGGGGTGGAAACCCTTATTTTCCAGGTCAGGGTTAATTTCATCTGTATCCGTTACTTCCGGTATACCCTTAATTACTACATGTAGTAATTTATCATCCGGTAACATATAAGTGTGATATTCGACTTTATTTTCATCAAATAATTTTATGAGTTTTCTATAGTCGTCGGGGGTATCGGGATTAATTGAAACGCCGTCAGTTATGTTTTTTGCATGTGCTATGCCAATCTTTTTATTTAGTGCATATCTACTTACTTGTCCCCATATTTCTGTGTTTCTGAGCACAATGGAGGGAGGGGAAATAATTTTGTCATTATTATTTGAATTATTCTGATTTGCGTCCTGAGTGGCACTAGAATTTTCTAGTGGTTCTGCTCCACTAGTTGCATTCGATTTGGCAATTTTATTGTTACTCGCGGATGTGTTTCCTGCGTCTTTCTTTGCTTTGCGTTTTTTACTCCTTGAAGAGGATGCTAGTTCCCATTCTCCATCTTGGTTGACATCATTTGGTTTGTTTGAAATAGTATTCTCACTTTGATTTACTATTTCCTCTGCCTCCATGTGTGTTTGTTTGTCTTCATCATTGTTGACCGCGATGAGAAGTTCAGTTACTTGTTGAGTAAGTTTAGCTATACTCAAATTGGCTGCGCGAATTTCTTCAAATAATTTGTCATTTTGTGCTTTTAGAGTTATGGGCTTCCGCGGCATCTAGTTTGCTTTGGAGGGCTTTCAGTTTAGTTTTATCGGTCTTTTTCATTTTTATTTTCTCGTCTTCATCCGAATCTCTAGGTGAACGAGACGTTCCGAATCTGAAGACATTTTATTTGGGTTTTTCAATTATGTGCTTGTGTGTTAATTTTGTGGATTTACTGCAGTGTGCTCGGATTCCCGGCACACTGCATGATTGTCAATAAGGTAGCTATCAAATAATAATTATTTATTTATCAGTATGGGTAAATTGTTTTAGTAGGGTGGGATTATAACCAACTGTTCAATTACAGGAGTACCTGCTTCGCACAGATTAGTATAATTCCTATGTAATCACTTTTACAATGGGTTTTCACTTACCAACGAGTTCGTGGTGCTTTTTCGTCGCTGCTTTCTCTGAAAGTATGCTGTCTCGATGAAACAACACTTCCTTTGCGAAAACTGTCACTACTAAAACACTCACTATTGTCTTTGAGAGGGGGTTTGAATTTTGTCGCGCACCGACTTTTCGCGTTTCGAGAACACTACTTTTCCGATGCACTATTGTCTTTGTTTCGATTGAATTTTCGCGTACCGACTTTTCGCGTTATCACTACTGGGACGATACACTATAGTCTTTGATTCACTGGATATTCACTACAGGTTGATATGGGTTCAGGCAATACAAGGAATGTGTTGGAATTATACACACACTCCGGTGTGAGAGTAGTTATACTAAATTCACAGCAGAGTGTTCAATGTATAGACAAGAACAACTTACAAAACAATATATAGACTTACCCCAACTGGTAGATGGATTCACTTATGAACTTTCACAACGTGGAGATGAAGCTATCGCACATCTGTACTGTTCAAGCACACAAGTCACTCTTTTTTGAATCAATCATTATTATTTTATGTTTATAAACATTGGTTCTCCCTGGTGTCTCTAAAAAAACTTCATTGTATTCAAAAAGTTACTCAAAATATTTATCTTTATGATGATCAGCAAAATTTCCAGCATTATCTACAGCTTGTTTTATTTCACTTTCTGAATAGGTATGCCTCTGTTTATCAAATTCTGTTTCAACTCCATATGACAAGTTGACAAAAATATTTTTATTCCCTTTTCCTGATGTCTTCAACCTTATAATTTCCTTACCAATAGGTAAATTCAACGTAAGGTTATTAAAATCCATTGAAACTCTATTCAAGATTAACCAATCACAACCAAGTATGATTTCATTATTTAGATCCGGGATGACTGCACAAACAATTTCAAATTGTGAATCAGCAATATCTACTGTCAACATAACCTGTTTCTATACTCTGTACTTTTTAGAACCAACTGCCACCGGAATACCTACATTGCTAATCGGTAAACTTGGTAACCCAATTCCAAAACCTTCCAATTCCCTGATGAATGACTCTGATATTGCTGAAATCTGAATACCCGAATCAATCAGAATTTCGAAATCACTATTATGAATTTGTGCCCCGACCATTGGTGATAAAAAAATACTCTCCGATATTTCTTCTTCATCCTCACTCAATAAGGTATCATCATCTAAACAAACTTTTTCTAAAGTCCTAATCTCTCGATTTCTATCCTTTTCAACCCTTCCATTTCCTCTCCTATCATTACTATCATTATTCACTCTTGTTTCTACAGCTCTTTTATTCGAATTATAATTATTCTGTCGATCACTTATATTCTCAGGAAGTCAACCGATCATCCTCTCGTCTCTGTGTCGAGCCGGTCGTATGCCAATTCTCTGTCGCTGCCGCTACCGTTACCGTTTGACCCCCCGCACCAAACGTCTCATCCAACTTCCTCAGATACAATTCAAAGGCATTAATAGTTCTAATTCCGTTCAAAATAACTCCTCTTTGTACTTTTACCTCAAAATGTTTGGAAATCCAGTCGACCAAATCACCTTCCGTTATATTTTCACTCAAAAAACTAGATTTATTTGCCAACTTCAAAAAATAATCAGCTCTACTGCCGTTTTTATATTGGCCATATTTAATTTCCACGAATAACTCCCTCTGTTGCTCGACCTCCCAATATCTTCGTTGAAATAAGTGGACAAAATTATTGAAATTCTGAAATTTGTTTTCATTTGCCATAGCCCAATCAGCAGCCGATCCTTTCATACAATTTAGAATCAAACTCAATTCAGCAGATTCTGGAACTCCTGCATCTTCTAAAATCTTGTTTATTTTCTTCAAAAATATCATAGGATTCACATTCCCTGTCGGATGAAAATGTAATGTTGTTCCCCCCAAATCACGGTATATTGTGAAATACTGTTTGTTTTCAACAATAGTTTTAATTTTAGACATCGAACTTCCATTCTGGATCGGCACAATATCCGTTTTCAAATCTCTCATACTCATAGCCAGTTGAGAAATACTATTTTGCATTTCGAGCATATTTTTAAACATTGTTTCCAAAACATTGGACCAACCAACTACATCTTGATTATTATGATCATCGTTCGAATCAGATTGACCAGACAATCTATTCGCCGAAGCTGTATTTTTATTTATTTTAGGTGGAATGTTACTAAACAAACTGTTTGCCTCGAGTTGGGCGACAAATGCTAAGACTTCAAGTATTTGAAATGGGTTTCTCAGGGCGATGAATAGATTCAAACAGTGTGTTCAATGAAACATACCAAAAACATTTATTGTCTACAAAAATAGGTAGGAAATATACTCTAGCTACCACACCTAAAGTCCTATAGAGACGAATAACAGTAATGTTCTTTGAGTTCGTTCTCAAGTCCCACAAAAACAAATGATTGATATACTTTCGGTACCTGGTACGACCTTGCGTCGATGCAAGGTCAACAAAAGTCCCATGTTGCAGATCTCAAGCAAAACTTGTGATTGTAGATACAAACAAGTAGGCTACTAGCAAAACCTCAGCTTCCATGGATACACAATATTAACTGAATAACTAAATAAGCATATTTAGTTACTCTCTGACAGGAACACCGCTCACTTGAGCTGATACGAGCAATCTATCTTCTCTTCGATTGCGCTAGAATGGCCACCAGTGTCGCTGTCGCCATTTCACCCTCTCCCTTCTTAGTTCCACGTCGACCAACTCGACTCTAACTCGGGCATGCGCACACACGAACAATGGCGTATGAATCTCACACAGATTCAAACAAGTGGTGGCGCACTACATCATTCTAAACCTTTGTTTATGCTATCAATGCTGCACTCAATTTGAAATAAACATTCATTCTTTTACGTTATATCATTGCCTTGTTAGTTCTTTCGAATTTTTCCTCGTAGACTTGGGATGAAAGATATTCTTGTTCAAGACAATTTTTATTCACTGTACTAAGTTAAAAAATTCAGTGCTTCACATGATGATTTTGTCTAGTGTACCCGTACAGTACAAACTGATAAACAAAATAATATCACAATAGCATCAGTCACAACACATTCTGAAACATATGTGGAAAAATTAAAAAAAAACAATTCATTTCATAAATAAACTTTGAACATATGAACATCTATTTATTAACTGATGAATGATACAACGAGAGCATCAGTCATAACTCATTTTAAAATCTGATTATTCAACCCACTCATTCCTGAGCATCGATGAATTCAATAGAAATGCAAGATTTTTTGTATACTACTTCATTCAAATCGAATATTCTCAACACGAAATCGACTGTCCTATATATAGGACGTCAGGAAGAACAATTATCATTTTGTGTGATAATCTAAGAAACATTTAACGTGAAGTCCGATGGCACATTTCACACACCTCGTGGTGGTTTTGAGATGACAGTGACGGCATCTAGTTTGTTTATCCTGTGGGATCACATGATGATTGATTCCATCATACCGCGAATCAATATTTTCTCGTTGACTAGGGCGGCCAACTGAACATGTGTGGGTTTTTTGTTAGTTTGTAGCAAGGAGATAGCGATTCTTCTGCGAAGTGCTAAATGGTCTAAATGTTTATCGTGTTACATGAAGCGGCTGAGTTGCCACGCATTTTGTATTGCCATATCAATACAATGGGCAAACAAAGATACCATTTTTCACCTCTAATTCCAGTGCGGTATAATGATAATATGTTCTGATCACTTCTGTCGACGCCACCCATGTTCTCGTTGGAAAATTTTATCATGAATGGCTGTGGAACTTGTACTGATTTTTCTTTCCTTCTGAGAATACCTTCTCACCATACGGATGGGATTGACACCAACTGCATTTGATGCTAAAGAGACCACACTGTTGTCATTTCAGCAAAGAACTGTCATATTCTCATCAAGGTATGTCTTGTGGTCATGTGTTGCTCTTGCAGAGTTCTTCGTTTCGGCAGTAGTTTTCAAAGGGTTTCTTATAATTCGATTGCTCCGTATTGTACCAGTTCCTCGAATACCAATCTCTGATAATTTTTCGAACAGCGCCATACCTGAGAAGAAGTTATCAAAGAAGATATGAAATTTACTATTGGGCCACCGACTTCTGAGAGAATCCACATAAGTGAGCACTACTCCAGCACCGACTCCCAGTTCTTTATATTCTGTTGAAACATGAGTCGATGCTCCCTGATATGGTTCGAATCAATTTATAAATCCATTCCTTATGCAGCCTACCCAGAGCTTGTATTCCCATCGTATTGGCTTACCCCTGATGAACAGTTTCGCACCATGCCGCCCGAAATAGGGGACCATTGCCTAATCTACACTGTGATATTCCTTATTGGTGCAAACTTCAAGAGATTATCACTGAGGGATGTGAAAAGTGGTCGTAATTTTTGGAGAGAATGTATCATCAGGATCTAGGTTATTGATATCAACAATATGAAAAACTTTCAATATAAAGTCGAACCTATCTCTAGAAAGAGCTTCAGATACTAGTTGGTTATGCACATCTTTGTCCTTCTCCTCCTGGGGTACGGTACATATCCACTTAGTATGAGTATCCCAACAAAATTTTTTAGTTCCGCTACATTTATTGGCTTACATTTTATATTTCTCATTGCTGCATACGCATTCGATTCATTGGTCAACATTTCGAATATATTTTCATCAAAAAGATTATAGAATAACGAAATTGGAGTTTGCTCATCATTATTTTCTGGTTCAAATTCTTCGAATGGCTCAGATTGATTAGAAGCAGGCAAATGGGAATCCGTCCAATTGAATACTTTAGTAGATTTCAGAATCGAACTTTTGGGCTTAGCAACTAACCTCGATAGAGGAATATTGTCATATGAGTCTGAGTCTGAAGTCTCTATTCGAAAAGGTACCTGTTTCTCAGCTGGAGTTCGTAGTTGTGAGGAAGGTAAATCATCAGGTGTCATCACATTTTCATTTCCAGAATCTTCCTCAGTCTCAGCTCCGTCATCTGGAGGAAGCATAATGATATCTGCTGAAGGATGGGGAAAATCATCTTCCTCAATCATTGCCAGCGCCTCGTGCAACGAAAAATCTCTGAAAATACAAGCGAGAAATAAATAACACAATCATGATCAGGAGTATCTACAATGCATCGTAGATACTCCTTACGTACTACATATAGGACGGTAATACGTTACCTCATTTCTATACATAATTCCATGCAGTTTTCAAGCTTGCGATACATAAGTAATGACTTGATGTAGTATTCAATACTTTTTATATGGAAATGAGGAATAAAAAAAATTATATAGAATTTTTTACTCACCTTGAAAATCTGATGTCGTATTCACTCATTCTCACAAGAAATTTTCACTGAATAAAACAACCTCTAACGCAACTATGAGCAGACTGGTCTAATATATCAACAGCAGTAAGTATCGAGAACCACACCCACGTATCGCGCAGTCGCAATACCAAAAATCAAATAATTGGGTGTCCTTTCAATAGGACGTTAGGGATATCTGGGTTAAAAAGATGAATATTTATTATCATCACCTGCACTATTATATATGCTGAATGTTCTATTTATTAGAGATGGTGGTATTTCAGAATCATATCAAGTATTTTTATTGAATAATTCTTTGGTATGTATCAGCGCATCACAAGTTTTTACCACCAGTTCATTCCTCATCTTTGATTTAATCGAATTTAAGTGACAACATATTCTTTTAACCTCTGCCGATGAGTGTAGTAGAGAAAGAGTAATCCTTTAACTGATAAGGTAATATTCGGAAACATCAGTGCATCCATTCTATTTTTCATTTGGAACACTGCCCTCCAAAAGTGGCATAAATCAAATAGTTTCTCTATGTCAGGTTGTCTCCAATCAGAATTCAACTCTTCTGGATTATTAACAAACATGGGAAAATGATTTACAATGCTGACAATTGATGTGATAAAACAACAGTGGGGTCAATAATCTGAATGAATTTCCGTACCGGATCATTAAAAGGAAATCTTGTTTTAATCTAAATACATAATTCTTAGTAGAAATCTGGACAACTCACCTGCAGATTATACACTTCATCTCAATATTGGGATTAATTTGGATGATTAGCTCACAGTTGGCAACAATAAAAATATCATCGATGTTTTCATAGTTTTTTGGTTCCCAAAAATTAGCATTTTTGATCTTTTCAAATATATCAAAACTCTCATTTCAAAACTTGCATGTTCTGTCTTCGAAATTTCCATGTTTCATAAAGTATTTTATCAATGTTGTGTATAGTTTTGTTATTCTACCTTTGAGTTTATGTATCTTGGGATGTTCACTCTGAAACTCCATGTTCAAGTTGTTGATCATGCTCAGTATATAACTCAAATACTATAATATAAATATCAAAATATCATTATTCAAGGCACTATTCTAGGCAAATTGTTTTTGAATTTGTTGATTCGACTTCTTCAGCGACAGCTAATGTGAAATGAAATACTAAAGCTTGCCATTATTCTAAAATTTGGTTTACAACGTTTTCTAATGATAACCATCTGGTTTGGCTAACACGGAGCATATTGTGAGGTTAGCTAATCAATTTTTCTTGTGCTGCGTGCAAAGTGATTGCAACGCTATTAGGTCACTTACAAGCTGCAGATGATGCAAGATGGAATGAGTGGTACACACAACCTAAAATGAACATATTTTATTATTGTCTTTGAATAGGGCTTGAATTATAGTTTTGTTGCCAATCATTACATTTGCATCATCTGCAGCAAATCCAAGCATATTTTTTGGGGGATATAAAGTTCAGAAGTTTTTTCATGGCACTGTATAATTCTTCAGCAGTTTCGTCAGCTTCCTCGAGTAGGACGAGAAATCTATCTTGAGTTGCACCTGCTCCTTCTTTGAAATATCTTGCTACAACTGCGAAACTTTTTTTCGACCCAATATATATGGTTTTGTTAATTATGAGCGAGAAATCTCAGATCCTTCGAAAGTAATTCTAAATTATGAGGACCAATTGGATTGGTACATAGGGCTGTGCCTTAGAATCGACTGTGATACACATACTTTGCAATTTCAGAGTCTGTGCATATAGAAGACAATAATTCAGGAAGGTGATCAAGAGGTGGAAATGATTAATTATGCTACGAGAAATTGCATAAAATTCATTTTTCATGAAATATAACTTTTTGTTCTATTTTGGTAAATTGGGTTCTGCCAAGAACAAAATTGACTCAATTCACTCGTAGCTGAATTCGTCATGGAATTGTTCAACTTTGTCAAGAAGTTTCTTGAATACTTGGAGTCATTCGGCTAGCCTGAACAAATCTGGAATGTGTTGCAGTCTGGGAGTACCGCTGTATGTAGGTGACACCACCAGCCAAAATTTTATTGCATACTCTACATTTGGCTTGGATTTGTTGAGTTCTTTCCTTCCATTATGAGAGGTCCTCATCTGATGTCCATTTAACTTTTGTGAACGTACAACGGAAGTTCATTTAACGTCCATAAACCTTCAGAATTGAAATGATTTCAAATAGATATTAATTTAGCTTCGAACAATTCTTCATATACTCATAATTAATGTTCATTCTTCATCCATGAATGCTCATGTGGTATTATTGTGTTGACTGTTCATTGATTGAAATAAATAACACGTTCTAACGATACAACTTGTATTATTTATTAAAAACTTCTACGATTCGAAATAGAGTATGTACGCTTTGTTGTGGTCTCGCCGCCATCATCAATTCAACTTCCAACTGTCTGTCTAGCCTCTCTCCTGGTCCCATCACCTATAAACCTGATATTTACAATGCTAGCCTCAACCAGGGTACCTTGATAAAAATTGAGAACACTGCATTCCTCCTCTACTTCGAATATGAAATTAAAACATTACATTCATCTATTACAAAACAGTTTTCATAATTAGTAGCTTATAATCACAACTAGGCTCTGAATTTAACTTCACTGCTCAAAACTACATTCTAAATTGAATTACAACTTCACATTAAACTTTTTTTTTTTTCATTCAAAACATTCGAAGTCACGCAAATAGGTAGGTCTTCTTATTAACCTCTCAGGTCGCAGCACTGGAGCTGGTACTTCTGTCGTAGCTGGAGTACACATAGTGTCTTCATTGTCTGTTGTCTCTGAATCTAGACCAACAGAAGGATCTTGATCAACAGAAGTTTCCGGATCTGGATTTATTGACGCTTCTGGACTTATAGATGTTTCTAAGTCGGAATTTTCATCTGTAGTATTCTGCTGATTTGGCTGTCTGAATGGGGTATGGAACAGTTTCAGTTTGACTCTGAACATTTGATGGACCAATTAATTTGAAAAATGATGAATTTCTATTAATAACCTTTTCTCCTCTTCTTGCTGTTCCACTGATTTTGATTATTTTATAGGGGTCTGGATCATACGTTGAAGTCAAACAGTTTTGCATAGTGTGTTTGCAAAGCACCTTCTTTCCTACTTTGAGTTTATGGGGTGATGTTTGTCTCTTTTTGTCTGCATAATCTTTGAATTTATTTTTTCTCAGCTCATCATAGCCTGACTGGATTTCTTTGTTGTTGGTGATCATTGGAAGAAAATTGTTGATCTCCCTTTGAAATACTGCTTGAAAAGGAGATTTTCTAGACGTTGTATGAGGAGTACTTCGGTAGTTTAGAAGAAATTCGTTGAAAGTTTTCACAAACCTTTCTGCCATACCATTGGCTTCTGGTCAATAAGGTGTTATTTTCTTATGCATGATGTTATAGTGTGCAAGGCAATTTTGTATATCACGTCCATTAAAAGGGGGCCCATTATCAGATTCCAGTGACTTGGGGATTCCAAATGTTGAGAATGTATTTTCTAAGATTGGCTTCACATGGACAAAACTTGTTGATGGTACTATCTCTACTACTGGATACCTGGAATATTCGTCAACTAAGATAAAATTATCCTTGTGATTTTGGAAATGGGCCTGCGTAGTCAACATCTACTGCTTCAAATGGTTGGTTTGGTGTCATTGTTGTCATAATGGGGTCTCTTCTATTTGATGGAACTACTGTTTGACAGGGAATACATCTACTTATGAACTCCTCCACGATCATATCAATTTTTGTAAATCATACTTTAGTTCTTAATAGTCTTGACAATCCCTTGGTGACCTTCATGAGCTGAACTAATGGCTCTCATTTGTAGTGATTGTGGTAATAGTCCAGTACGTGGGGGTTTTTTGAATGCAAAAGGTGGGGTAGTAGCGATTTTTTAGTATGTTGTTAGGCTTGGGGCCCTAATGAGAAATCCAAGTTTTCGACCTCGAGGCGCATGCGCTCGAGCCGCCATATTGGATTTTAGGTACACAAATTTGGTTTTTTGATAATAACTCAAAAACGGTGGCTTTCACGACAAAATATGTTCTGAACAAAGTTGAAGAGGACAAAATTTTCTGAATTTTTTCTGTTGAACTTTTTTTTATAGCACACATATGTGTCCGGGTTGGTTATTGTCTGTGTCCTGGTGGTAGTAGTCGGTGTCCTGGTCGTAGTTATCTGTGTCCTGGTCGTAGTTTTGGTTCGTAGCCTGAAAAATATCGTCATCCTCGTCCTCGCTTTCAATGCGGATTTCCGGCATATTTTCCGCAAGATACTCCGTTGCAGAAGCCACATACAACCGAACATTTAAGTCCAGCCTTTCGGCAGCTGAATGCCCCACCACACCCCTTTTTGCAGTTGCAAGATACCGATTTCAAGAATAAATCGGGAGCTGTTTTTTTCGCCATTGTTATGGGAGTGAGCCCGTAAGCGCCATGCTTCCAACCCCAGTCTTCAGGATTTTTCTCAATGCCTCTCCATTTCTGTACTTGGTGATACGTCCTGAAGGCGTAGAATTTGGATGCGTCTTTATTAGGTGGCAAAGAGGCAAGATTAAATTTGGTTTTTAGCGTAGATTTGGCGAAGCGTTGGAAACGAATCTCTTCCAAACTCTCTTTATCCATGTTGCCACCATATAATGCTACAAGAAAGCGTATTCCGGTCTCGGCAATCTCCTCTGGCGTGGCATCTTGTTTGTTAAAAAGTTCAATTATTTCATGAACCGCTCTGTTTTTTATTATCAGCGTACAAAATTTAGTTTTTCCCTGATTGAATAGGAATGACGTAGTGTCACACCCACTGAAGGCATGCAAGAACAGAATGTGCTTGGTTGCTTCTTCGTATTTGAAGCTACTTGCTGAATATATCCTCTCAGCAGTTTTTCCTCTTCCAGGTTTCCAGGTTTACGGAAGTAGATAGAACTTTCGGCTGGTGCTGGAAGGCTGTCAGAAGTACTAAAAGGTCAACGTCTTCCCCGACCACAAAAACAGCATCAAATATTGATTCACTGCATAATGAAATTGCAGTATTGACAATTAGCACATCGGCATCGCATTGAGCTGTGGGTGGGGGTCCCGGGTTCAAATCCCTATTGTTTTCATGTTTTTTTTTTATTTTCAACTTATTTTTAGTCCGATTGGGTGCAGGGCGTGCTATTTCTGTTTTATATTGATCTAGGCTTTCAATGATGTTCTTTCTCCAGGCTTCCAAAGTGCGCGTAGCGAAGCGAAGCGCACTTCAGGAAAATCTTTCCCCTCAATTCTTTGATCCACTGCGCATGCCTGGAAAAGCGGCGTGTTCATTTTTGTGGCATCTGTCATTTACCCTCTTTCAATACTTACTAGACAGCAGCTGTGCTCTCGATATCTGCCTATCCGTTGAGATTTTGGGCAACCTATAATTATATAATTGGAGTAGAATCTCTTTAAGAACCATTTCAATATGATTTGCATTCGTTCGAATTATTCATTTAAGTTATTAACAGCCAAATAACAAAATGAAATACTTTGAAAAAAAAATTGCATAGAAAATGTTGGAAATTTTGTCTTCTTCAATATTGTTGGGAACATATTTTGTCGTGAGAGCCACCGTTTTTGAGTTATTATTAAGAAACCAAATTTTTGTACCTAAAATCCAAGATGGCGGCTCGAGCGCATGCGCCTCGAGGTCGGAAACTTGGATTTTTCATAAGGGCAACAAGCTTAACAACATACCAAAAAATCGCTACTACCCCACCTTTTGCATTCAAACACCCCTTTTTGATACCCACGTACTGGATTATAATATGATTCTTCTTTCTCGTAGTACAATATCATTTTCATATGTTAGTTCATCTTTGATTTTTTCAAAACTAGATAATTCACTTGACTCCCACTTCTTGTGATCGTTAAATTTTAGGGCACTTATCAGATTCATTAAGGTGTTATCTTCTTGTGTGTGTTTCCTAACTTCTTCTACTGACATTTTTTTTGGGATTCTGCTATCAACAATGAACTTGACATATTGTTCAATTTCATCATCTTAGCAAATTAGCAAAATATGTAGAATTTGTTCTATGGTGGGATAAATATTCCCATCACTTTGTTGATACGCTGAAAGAGCCGAATCGGGTTTATTATCATTTTCCCATTCTATCTGCCACATATCTGTTTCAGATGATAATGTAGATAACATAATTACTGAAATCATCATGTTTTTCTCAATATGAAATAGTTTTTCTCACATATGTTTGTATTTCTCACTTGGATTCGATACTGAAAATTGTTGGTAAAAAAGCATTGAAAAATTGAACACATTTCGAACATCTTCATTGAATCTGAATTTAAGATCGTCAATAACATTATCCAGCAGAGCAATAAATAATGTCACCCTGGAATATTCTTCAATATTTTGCACTGGCGGATTACTTCTATTTTTTCCCGTCAAACGTGGCGAAGAAATTTCCAAATCCAGTGCATCAGGAATATTTTCAATAGTTTTATAAATTTGTCTAAAACTGTCTACGCCGACGGCATCTGAACGTTTCTTTTGTGAACTTCTGATGTTATTTGTGATCAATGTTTTTGCGTACCCCTTATCGATTGTCTAAATTTGGAGAATTTTGCTCAAATTGACTCTCAAAGTCTTTTAGAGGGATAGTGACTAGTTTCTTCAATGGTGTTTTTTTTATGCGCTTCCCCGGACTTCACAAAAAAAATACAGAAACCGCAGAATACGCCTTTTTGTTCAGTTGAATAAGTCAACCATGGAAAACAATCGAAATGTTTTTTAGATAAATAACACTTTATATCTTTTTGATTTTTTGAATGGATTGAATATGGAAATTTGAATTTTCTCTCTGGAACCATTGCATGTTTCAAAATATTATATTTTTCCAGATCATTGATGCCGTTTTTATTCAAGTAGTGTCCACTCAGAAAATTTCATTTGTACAATCAATGAAAAAAGTAGGTTGAGATAACAATCCTAAGATCTCTATTTGGTAGATCTTAAATGTTCTTTAATTAATAGTATGCCCACTGTTACTTGTAAACATCCCATAGATAAAATAATTTTGTCATTATGATTACAGGATACTTTATGTATATGGTAACAGTACATATTGTCAATGTTAGAATAACAGTTGTTCACGAAATAAAATTATGTTAAATATAATAGGTGTCTTAAAGAACGGAATTGTTACAGATAAGATTTATACTGAACTGTTGACAAGGTTACTATTGAATCAAAAAATCACAGCTCTAGATAAATTGTCTTGATGATGAAATGTTACTATTGAGCTAACTACTCATTACTATACCATTTTAAAAAATATTGTTATCCTAACTATACTAGCCAGGGACCCGGACCCAAATGAAATATCGGTTTCGGTTCGGGTTCGGGTCCAAGGGAAATGGGAAATTTCGGTTCCGATTCAGTTACGGTTCCCAGAATATAATTTCGATTCGGTTCTGCCAATATTTTTCGGTCCAAAGGGTTCTTTTCGGTACGTCATAATATGTATATTTCAAAGATACCATGCTTATGTCAATGAAAATGAAATTTTTCCAAAGTTGGACAATTTAACAGTTGATCTACATCGAACAATCCCCTTGACTGCAACCTCAAGGAAAATACCTTTTTAGCTGTTTTTCCAAAAATTAATATACATGCAGAAAACACAGGACTGAACACTGAACAGTATCTTCATTATTTAGATTACAAAAATATTGAATACAATATATAATTATTGATTTTTTCTTTTTTTTTCAGAAAAATTCTTCATAATATTATTCTCCTGTCTCTCCATCGATTTTCTTTTATTTCCCTTGGAATGGGATTCCTTCTCCCCACGAGAAGTATTTCCTTCATCATTTTTATTTCCACTAGTCCCATTTTCTCCATGGGGTGATGGTGGCATTGATGGGTTCTTTTTTGTGATAGCAAAACTGAAAATTCATAAATTAAATGAAGATAAACAAAATTCTGAATGAAAGCTCACATAATTTTTTCTTCTCCCCTCTCAAATATCCTGTTAGTTCTGATGAATAATTGCTCTTCTAAAATCTTTTCCTTAATATTAGTTCTTGTGGGAGGCAAAAGAAATTTCAGCCCTGCAAAAAGCCTTACTACACTGACCTGTGTTGCAGGTACCCCCAATAGTACTTGTGCCAGCATATATAATTCTGGCATGATTTCTTTTTTTGCCTCCCAGAATTGAAATATGGTGGAATTTTTTGTTAAACGTATACGTTCCTGTTCAATTTGGAAAGAATTTGAAATATTATCAATTCTCTTTGTTGTCATTAAAGAATTCTTGGATGGAGTTCCAAATCCCTGTTCCAATTTATGTTCAGTTTCTTTCTTTTTTAAGAAAGCCTCCATTTCATCATTGGAAGAGTTGGATGCAACTGACATTATCTCAGCATCAGGATCTTCATTTTCTGTATCTTCAGATGCAATCTTTTTCAAAGACAATAACCTAGCCCACAGCTGCTTCAAATTACTTTTTGCTCTCTCCATTTCATCAATATTTAGAACTACTTTGAATCTTGGATCTAGAAAAATCCCTGCTAGGACAACATCATTATCCAACAACTTGGATTCCCTGTGTGTCATGTTTCTTAATAAAGTTCTTGCAAATGATGATCCAATTTGTTCTGTTGCTAATTTGCATGCTTGCCAGTAGCCATAAAATGAGCCTAAAGTTAGTTGTTCATACTGCAATTTCTTGGTGCGTTTTCTTGCTGGTTCTAAACCACAAACAATGTCTTCAATTTTTGTCCAGTCAGATTCACATATTTTCTTAAATTTATTGAAGCTAGTCACCTCCATTTCCCTGCAAAATTCTCTCAATTCCAAGAGTACCTTAAGCATATCAAATGTAGATCCCCATGGGGTTGGACAGTCTATGATAGGTTTTTTAAATTTTTGTTTCTTCAACATATACATGAATGTTTGGGTTCTTAAAGTCTTCACCACTCTTCTCACTTCTAATAACAACTTTCCAACTATTGTATCCTGCTTCAGGGTATCTTCAATTGCCAACTGCAATGTATGTGCAGCACAACGCATACCTTTGAAAGAAACACATCATGTGATCTCAAAAGGAGATCATTGACATTTTTGATACCAACCTGTCACTTTCAATCTTAGATTTGGTAAAGTAGAAGTTGAAGAACCATCATTATTGAAATCTTGAAGATTTTTATAAAATATTTTAAAAAATGCATCACTTCCAAATTCCAGCCCAGCCCCTGACCTAGAATTTCCTTCCATGTCTGAGTCATCCTCTACAACTATTTCAATATTGTCACTGAATTCATCTTGATCATCATTATCTACTTCATTCTCAATTACATCATATTCTCCATTTTCGGAGGCAATGATTTTAATGGCTTTCAACAAATTTGATCCATTATCTGTTGTTATACTGTGAATGTTACCAAGGCCAATTTGAAATGAATTGCATGCATCCATGATCATTATCTTCAAATTAGCTCCTGAAAAATTAGAGAGTAGGGAGTTGTTTATGTATATTATATATTTTGTTACCTGTATGTTGATTAGTAATTTCCTTCAGTGCTAAAGTTCTCAACACAATCTGACCATTCTTGATGTATTGAATGTTTATCCCCAGAAATGAGCGATCTATTCTAGTGACACCTTCACTGAAACCATACAGTTTTTTACTTCTTCTATGATTTTTCTCTTTAGATCATCAGCTTCCCTGGTCACATATTTCTGAATAGATTCAGATGATAGAGAAAAATGCTTGTCTTTCGTTTTTCGTGAAAGACCTGCTTTTATTGGCTCCAATATTTTCTTGAAACCAGAATCTTCCATCAAACTGAAGGGCCTTCCATTAACAGTCACTAGTTCAACACAGGCATCAATCAATATTTCTTTTGTGATTTCAATTTTGATTGTATTCATTTCTTTGACATTTGGTTGATTAGATGATTTATTCACTGATGTTATTGTTCCAAACTGATCCTCAGTGAAATTGTGGGACCGAATCAGATGTTTTTTAAGATTTGTTGCATGGTGGCTCTACATGATAAAGAAAGATAAAAAATTGATAAGAGGTCAGTTTGAAAATTCTGCAATGGTACTAACCTTTACCACATCTTTACATAGTTTACACAATGATTTGTCCTCTACCTATATGTAATTGAAATGTTGGTGAGCTTCGCTGATTATTTTACGCCCCATATTTAGTCTAAAAGTAAATGCACACTTGCACACTTCCACAGGTAAATGTACAAACTGATACAAAAAACACTGAAAAACAGTCGGCATAACAAAGTCATGAAACAAAATGAAGGTTTTTCATAGAACTCACAGAACATACAAGCTCTGATATCACCACTTATAAATCTTGGAGAGAACCGAAATTAACCGGAAAAACCGTTTTGACTTTTAGGGGTTCCGGTTCGGTACCACTGAATAATATAAGTTTGAATATGGGTTCAGTTCGGGTTTCGGTTCACAAAATAATATGGGTTCCGTTACGGTTTTCGGTTCATAACGGTTCCGGTCCGGGTCCCTGATACTAGCACTTTCTCAACTACATACATTATGGGTATGTACCGTAATTGAACAAATGCAACCAGACGGTTAACCGTGTTTTTGACAGTGGTTCCATTGTGGTAATAAACCAGATTATTTTCCAACGGAACGATATGGTATCGATATGGTTTTCGTAAAGCGACGTATGACATTTGTATACGTCAACGTCAATTGAAGGTAAAGGTTTGTCATTATCTTGAAAGTTTTTGTTATGCTTTCCAATTTTCCATATTCTCCAATTTTCAGTTATTATCAATTGATTTGGGACATGCCATGTTTTTCAATGAGCTCCTGATGGATCTAGCGATAGTTCAGATGACGACATACCTCGTCGTAATATTCCTGGAGGTGATATTCAAAAATTAGGTTGTGTATTGCTATACTAATGTATCTATTATTTGAAAGCGCGACGAGTAAGGATAGACAGATATGTTGAAAATGTGGTAGATCTGTATTCTGAAGAAGAATTCCGAGAAAATTTCATTATCTCTCTGATTATCGAGAAAATTGCCTCCCAGCCCTGTGACATTGGACATCATACACTGAGCTCGAAATCACAACTGTTGATTGCAATATGGTATTTTGCAACTCCAGATTCCTATAGGTAGGTAGTATGGCCATTGTGTTTCATGACTGAATAGTAAAACAATCACTTTTCAGATCGATATACTGTAGATTCAATATAGGCAAAGCCACAGGACTGAGAACTGTGAGAAGAATGGCACACGCTTCATTTGAATTGTCACCTTCCATAATAAAGTGGCCTACCGAAGGAGCAATAGAGATGAATGTGAATGGTTTTTTAGAGAAAGGTTTTCCAGACACATTGGGTTGTATTGATGGAACCCACATACCAATTCCTCAACCAAAAGACCATGGGATTTCTTATATTTGCAGAAAGGGCAAGTATCATATTACAAGTGAGCAAAAAGCTGTGAATATAATCACCTAGAATTTGATAAAACTGATACAAGGCGAAGCTAGTTATATATAATCATACAAAAATCAAATGTAATCTGAAAATATTGCAAGTAATAGTTGAAATAATGTGCACTCGAAAAAAGGGGAAAGTTAGTTTTTTAGAGTACCCTAGCTATAGGAGTGACATTCCAAACCTCTTGGAACAGGGAAATGCCATATCTCCTGAAGTAATTTTTTCTTGCGGAAATTTCAATTGCGTAGTGTTTCCTTCATGTTTCTCCTTCGAAAGTTTCATCACAATTCCAGTATATTGAGCAGCATTTTCTGTTCATGTATATAATGATCTATCAATTTTCAGGCAGTCTGTGATCATCAACTCATGTTTATTCACTGCTATGCAGGAGAATGTGGCCCATGTCATGATAGCAGGTTCCTTAGACAAAGTGAATTGAGTTCCTGGTTGAGAGAAAGAGCTGTTGAAAAGTTTCCTAGAAATACCCACCTTCTTGGGGATAAAGCTTACCCTTGCTGGCCTCACTTGATAACCCCATATAAAAATAATGTACAGGGTGTCCCAAACTGGATGCGTTCTTATGGGAACACCCCTTATTTGAAGAGATGGAAAAAAATTAACCTAGGTGTCCGGAGCTTAAATTCAATAAGGAAACCACTGGTGCAAACGAGACTTTGCTATCTCTTATCGTTTGGCCGCCAGAGGGCTTTTCTCGAAATTCGTTGATTTCTTCAATTCCCCATAACTTTCTTATTAATGAAGATGATTCATTTTGGTAAAAACATTCTCAGAGCACTTTTTTTCAAAGATTGCTGTGCACCATCACAAACTCTGTTTTTTTAAATGGACCACCCTATATATTATGATATTTTTGAGAGGCTCGTAAAATTTACTAAATTTTGATGTATCACTCGTCATGTTTATCTCAGAAACCATCAGCAACATTACGATTTAAAAATTAAAATATTGTGCCTACAGAAATCAAGATTGCCCTGACTAATGAAATGACATAGGATGCTAACATGTTATAGTTGAAACCACCGATCTAAAGTTTTTACGTATGGAAGCAGTAGGCCGTGATCATGATTATTCTGTTTTCGTTGTTTGACAGCTTCTAAATAGTTGAGAATTGACAGTAGAACTCGATTATGTTTGATATTTTGGTATTTTCGGCAGAAAATAAGTATATTCATAAGGTTTTTGAAGAGTTTTAAGGAATGTATGAAAATTACGAAAAGTTCAACATGCTTGAATGTTACATAGAAAGTAACATAAATGCTCAGGCGGCAGAAAACTTGTATTTCCAAAGATATCCCGAGCGACAGCAACCATCCAGGGATATATTTGCTAGACTTGCCCATAATCTCCAGAATTTTGGTTCTTTCAACAAACCCAGAGCAAGTTATGCTCAAAATCAAGAAATTCAGAATGAAAATGAAATAAAAACTATAACCGTATTGGGAACTTTATATCAAAATAATGGTAAAACTTCCACAAGAAAACTTGAAGCAGAGACTGGCATACCCAGAAGCACAATCCATCGGATTTTGAAAAAAAATAAATGAATTCAAGCCCTATCGAACTCGCAAAATCCATCATCTTCTTCCTGGGGATTTGGATAGAAGAACTCGTTTTTGTCAGTGGTATTTGAATAAGATACAAAATGAACCAGATTTCGCCATAAATTGTATTTGGACTGACGAAGCTTCGATTAGTAGTGCGGGCATATTTAATCGATTTAATGATTACACTTGGTCTCAAGAAAATATCCATGTGACTGTTCAAAACAGACAACAAGGAAGATTCAGTTTTGATGTGTGGGTAGGAATTTTCAGAGGACAATTCATTGGACCCTATATTTATGATGGACCGCTGAATTCTAGAGAATATTTGGATATTTTAAGGAACCAGGTTGAACCGTTCTTGGAAGATATTCCTATTAATCTGATACCCAGAGTAGTTTTCCAGCACGATGGTGCCCCTGCACATTGTGCAAGGATTATCAACGATTACCTCAATGTCCAGTCCGGTGAGAAGTGGATGGGAAATCAAGGGCCCATACAATGGCCTGCCCGGTCACCGGACCTGACGCCCTTAGATTTTTTTCTGTGGGGTAGAATTAGAGACTTAACTTATAAAAATAATAATTTTAATAGCCGGGAAGAATTAGAAAGGGTGTTGCGAGTTCTAAATATACAACTCATTAATGCAGTTAATGCTGTTACCATAAGATGTAGAATTTGCCTTCAACAAAATGGGGGACAATTTGAACATTTGCTGACATAATTTCATTATGTTTGTGTATATGTTTATTCAATATCGTTGATTAAGTTCCATATAATTTTATGTTAGGATTTAGTGTTAGTGTAATATTGTTGGTTTGTTGTTGTTGTCCTTTGTATTTCAAATAATTATAAATTCATTATGATAACTATGAGTAATTTAATCATGAAACTTCAGATCTGTAGTTTTAATCATAACATGTTAGCATCCTATGTCATTTCATTAGTCAGGGCAATCTTGATTTCTGTAGGCACAATATTTTAATTTTTAAATCGTAATGTTGCTGATCTTTTCTGAGATAAACATGACGAGTGATACATCAAAATTTAGTAAATTTTACGAGCTTCTCAAAAATATCATAATATATAGGGTGGTCCATTTAAAAAAACAGAGTTTGTGATGGTGCACAGCAATCTGAACGCCCTGTTGAAAAACTTCTCATCTCAATAGATTCTATGAAGAAAAGTGCTCTGAGAATGTTTTTATCAAAATGAATCATCTTCATTAATAAGAAAGTTATGGGGAATTGAAGAAATCAACGAATTTCGAGAAAAGCCCTCTGGCGGCCAAACGATAAGAGATAGCAAAGTCTCGTTTGCACCAGTGGTTTCCTTATTGAATTTAAGCTCCGGACACCTAGGTTAATTTTTTTCCATCTCTTCAAATAAGGGGTGTTCCCATAAGAACGCATCCAGTTTGGGACACCCTGTACAT